GATAGATAGATAGATAGATAGATATACATACATACATACATACATACATACATACATACATACATACATACATACATACATGAATACATGGATACATGAATACATACATAGATACATACATACATGAATACATGGATACATGGATACATGAATACATACATACATACATACATACATGAATACATGGATACATGGATGGATGAATAGATAGATAGATCCTCAACAAGGTCAGCATCTTTTGTGGGGACTTGGCTTCAAAATAAAATAATATTTGTTAATTTATAACTATAAAAGCATTTTAAGTTCTCTGAGGCAGATTAGCAGAAACCACCTCAGTGTTTTTGCAGCTTAAGTCTTTCAGTGCTCCTGGAGCTGAACTCTGGTTAAACTCCCACTGCAGCTGCTCCTCTGTTGATGTTGACAGAATCCAGCAGGCAGCACACTTTTGTTGATCTGTGAGGCTGGTGACCTCACTGGCTGCAAAACCGAAGAATATTGTTGACGACATTATGTCAGGAGAGCAGAGGCTTTTGAAGCAGTTTTGCCTACCTTGTCATTAGTGCAGCTTAATAACTGGCATGAAAAAAAAAAACCTTTAGGATTAGCTCTGAGTGAGCGACTTAGAGTAGTGTTTTTTTTTAAATCTCACCATTATTACTAATTTCACATTATTCTTTGTTTATCCCCTTGACATTTCAGTCAGCATTTTGGTAGAACACATTTTGAGTCCCTATATCTTACTGAAGCACGCACTGAACTAAATAAACTAAATCTAACCTTACAAAAATAAAAAATGAAAAAATAAAAGTTTGAGGTTGTTTGAATAAAAAATATAAATATAGAATATTATTGCACCACATGATGAAGCTAGAAAGAAAACTTCTCAGTTTTATCTTAGTGTGGTTGTGTCTGTCTGTCTGTCTGTCCATGTGTGATGTGAGCATGATAACTTGATAAATAAGTGAAACTTCCATTATGTGAGAGGCCACATTTAGGCATAAAATAATGGTCCTTTCAAAAATTGGGTTGCCACATTGAAATCCAAGATGGCTGCCAAAATGTATGTATACCCCACGATAAGTGAAAAAACACGAAGTAGGAATAGTAGTACAAGTAGTAAGTAGTAATTTATATTAGTATATATACAAAAATATATATATATATATATATATATATATATATATATGTGTGTGTGTGTGTGTATGAAGTGCTTTAAACACTTCCCACACTCTTGCAATATTCTAAACAATGTTTCTAAACTCTAAACGCTCTAAAAGAGCACAGCATGGCATGATCTCCGCTCTCTCTGCCACTGAAGGCTCTTTGCCACCTGCCAGCGCTCTCGGCCACGCCCACTTCTCCACTGCAGAGCAGAGATTGACACGCTGCAGGAGGGAACTTCTCCCTGTAGCTGTTGGCTGCAGACAGGTGCAGCAAGTGCTACGTAATTTAAAACAATTTATTTTAAGTAAAAAAATCCATGCTGATCTTGTAGCTCATCCATCAGTCAGCCAATTGTGTCATGTCCAGTCTAACTTGGAAAAACCACAAAAGAGCGAGTCCGCGAAAGTCGAACCACGAAGTAGCGATGGACTACTGTATATCTAAACCTTGTGAGTTGGATAACTTGAAAAATAAACTTTTATTTTGGTGTGTATCTGCATCTAGGGATAACAAAGGTCACCGTCGAGATTTGTGTTGCCACCTCTAAATCCAAGATGGCCACCGTCAAATTCATATATGTAAATTGGTCACCCCAGGTACTTGAGGAAACAACGCCTTCTAGTTTTATATTGCTTAAAAAGTATAGTTTCTTGAAAAAATCGGAGTGGCCCTTGGGGTTGCAAAATATTAATCTATGGTGGCCAATGCCACCATTGGCCACCCACTGGCTCCGCCATTGTGCCTGGTGGTCAATAAAATTGCTCCCTCCACTCACCAGATTCCATCACTTTCAAAATAAAAAATAAAATAAAACCAGGCAAACAAACAAACCAAACAAATTCCTCTGTTCTTATACTCAGTGTAACTCGTACCCCCTTGAACACCTTTCCACTAAAACATCAAGGGTCACTTGCATTTCCTGTTCAATTCGAGTCAAACATTCACAATTCAAATCTCAGTGACAGGACACATCTGTGTACTGCTTGTTTTTTTATCATCATCATCATCAACTTTATTTATAAAGCGCTTTAACACAGCCACAGCTGAAACAAAGTGCATGATGGCCCACGCTCTATGTTGGGTTGGGTCATAACACCTGCAACATGTAGTTAAGGAGAAACAGTACTATTCACAGGTGTAGAGAAGGAGCGGATAATGGTGGGGACACAGATCATCATACATATTTCACGATAATCACAATGTTTGCACAAAAATCACATGCATGAACAAAACATGTTTAATTTCTTTCTTCCTGAAATCCACAGTGGTGCTACGGGTTCTACGTGACGCACCAGCAGGGCCACGTCGGCTTTGAACTTTTCTTTAAGACCAGAGAGCTGAAGAAGAAGTGGTTGGATCAGTTTGAGATGGCAATGTAAGTAAGACCGAACACCTCGGTCATGGCAGTTTGCTCCAAACGCAGGAGGCCAAGTGTATGTGCGTCTATACGTCTCGTCTGTTTGTCTTTGTTTGCAACCGTGTTGTTTCAAAGCTGAGAGGGCTGTTGACTCTTCCATGTGCGCTGTTTGCTCAGGGCTTGGCTGTGATTGAGCACACACTGTTGACGGACAAACACATACACTCACTGTGCGTTAAAATAAACTGTTAAAAAAAAAGAAGAGAGAGTCAAAGTTGTTCTGCCATGAACACTGTTTAATTCGCTGTCCTGTGAAGATAAAGTGGATTTTAACGTGTTATTCTTTAAGATTTAGAGGATTTTACAGGCAAATTTAATGTGTGGCTGATTTGACATTACTGTTGAGACTTTAAATGTCTCACTAAATTCTCATTAAGTGTGCTTTGGCCTTCATGAATATGTTTCCCCCTTCTCATAGTGCTTTGCCACATTCTTGAAAGTGTTTGCTGTAGCAGCAGTGCAGATTGTGAACTTTTATACTTCTTTCTTCATCTTGTCTGAAACAGCACAGAGTACCGTACAGTACCACCTGGTAATGTAAAACCCCTGATACTTGCCCAAGGCTTAATGTGCATTTTACAAAATTTAGAAAAATAAAAACCACTCCTGGCCTAAAGCTGTTTTGCCATAGAAAGCCTAGAGGGGTTTCATCTGGAATAAGCTAGGTGCGGCTGTGCATTGGGTAATGACACGAGAAAAGGACAATTCAGAAAGTGAAAATGGACTAACCAAAGAGGAGGAAGGCTCCAGATAATAAACACACTTATGGGACTATAAGTTTATTGTGTGTGCTGCAAAAATACATTGTTGTTTCAACTGAGTTACATCTCAACAAGGACTTTTCCGTCTTGCATTTTTCCTTTCTCATGTTCATCAAATTTCAGAGCCTGAAGTTTAAAGTCTTTATTGTGGGGTAGGGGGCTCATCACTGTTTGTTTTGTACTTGAAGTACACCAGCCTTTATTTTACTCAATAAAAATAAACTGCAGAAATAAAAGCAAAACAGGTCTTAAGTACATGGGCACCTCAGTACTGACAGCTATGATGCGTAATTTGAGTAAATTAATATGAAGTTTTCTTAATTAGAATATAAAGGTTACTTACTTTTTTTTTGGTAACGGCACAAATATTTTCATATGCCAATAAGAGACTGAGCAGGCTCTTGGTGAATGTCTCATTTAAATATAAATGCATTATTTATGATTATGGGGGAGTGGTGGCGCAGAGGTTAGAGAAGGTGAGCCTGCAATCGGGAGGTTGTAAGTTTGAATTCTCAGGTGGAAAACATAAAGCACACACATCTCCCTCCACCTATTTGCCCAACTGTGGATGGCATCCCTCTGCTCCCCACATGTGGGATGTGGTAGCTCACTGGTCAGTGGTTGCATCCAGTGTACCAAACAGACTAGCAGAACAAAAAAAAGAAAAGAGCAAATCTTTATGCGAGTTTGATCTTTGAGTTCTTGTGTTTGATTTTTTTTTTCCTTAGTGATTTTCCTGGTTAGGGATTTATGAGTCTAACAGCTTCAGGGTAGAAGCTGTTCCTCAGTCTAGTGCACATATGTCAAACTCAAGGCCAAATGTGGCCCTCGTTGACATCTTATCTGACCCCCAAGTTGATATGTTAAACATAAAATAATTTTTCACTTGATTTTTTCAGTAACCTTTGATTATGATGTCAAAAGTGCAACAGCGAACGTCAAATGAGACCAATCAAACTTTTTTTTTTTGAGGAACCTGCAACCAAGAAACAATACTGGGTATCTAACCTGAGTTAATGTAGATTCTGAAACCGGCCCTTAGTTTGAAAAAGGTTTTAATTTGGGCCCCCTTTTGTAAGTGAGTTTGACACCCCTGGTCTAGTGGTTCTACACTTAATGCTCCACAACCTCCTGCCTGAGGGGAGCGGGGCAAAAAGTGTGTGTGCTGGGTGAGTGGGGTCCTTCATGATGCAGGTGGCCCTCTTCCTGCATCTAGAGGTGTAGCTGTCAGTGATGGTGGGGAGGTTGACTCCAACAGAGTTCTGTGCAGCCTTCACTACTCTCTGCAAAGCTTTTCTTTCTGCAGCTGTGCAGCCTCCATGCCACATGTTGATGCTGGAGCACAGGATGCTCTCCACTGCACACCTGTAGAAGGAGGTGAGGACTGAGCTTCCCAGACCAGCTCGTCTCAGCCGCCTGAGGAAGTAGAGTCTCTGATGTGCTTCCTTGATCAGGCTGGTGGTGTTGTTGCCCCAGCTGAAGTTGTCATTCAGGTGCACACCCAAGTACCGGGACCACTTCCACCGCAGATCCTCCTATGTTCAAGGTGGGGGTGATGGCGTTTGCCTCCTCTGAAATCCATGACCATCTCCTTTGTCCTTCCATGATGTCCAGGTGTTCCACCTCCGGCCTGTAGCTGGACTCATCTTTGTTTGTGATGCAACCAACCACCGCTGTATCGTCTGCAAGCTTTATAATGTGAGAGCCTAGATGGGTTATTTTTCCTCCTTAAATGTTTCAACCAGTCCTTGGAAAAATGGCATGTTGTTTGCTTTTATGTGCTTTTTATTAAACACAAACATATTGTTAAACACATCTACGGTATATTTTAGGGACTGTGAACATTTTTACCAGTCTAAATACAGCAGCTTCAGTCATGCTATCATCTAATTCTTGATTTTTATTTTTCAAGTTCTTGAGCCGGTGCTCTGAGGGGAGGCTGAAAGTTTGACTTAGACATGCAGAGCACAGTGCAAGGCTGAGTGCGTTGGGAGAGAATGCATAAGGTGAATTTGTAAAACTTTATGACTAACAGTGTTCACATATGTACGCCATGAGAACCAGTACTTTCTGAACATGTCTCTTCATGTGTAGAATTTGCTCGTCTTTGAGGGAGGAATAAAAATCCAACAGGGATACTGACCTTTAGTGCTCTGCCAGTGATGGATCGGAGTGAAGGTCAATGAGTTCAAGCTGAACATCATTGGGTGCATTACCCACAATGCATGTGAGGGGAAAGGAAATTGAGCATTTCTCGCTCTCAGCTCTTTTGAAGTCTTCAGATTGACTTGAAAGCTCACCTTGCAGTGCCCCCAGCATCAATAAACACCTATGAATGTGATCTACTGATGGTTTGGCTTCTTTCAAAGGTAGAATGTTACCCTCTAATTAGATGAAATAAACCACAACTTTTTTTTAAACCTTCACCAAACTATTCATTTCATGTGAAATAAGGGGATTGCTTTGCAGTTTGCTGTTTTGTTCATTCATTAGTTAGGTCAAATAAACGGCAAATAAAAACATATTCTGGGATTCTCTTGATTTTCTTCTCTCAAACTCAACCTGCTGCTGTCAGACTCTGCAGTCTTTGTTCAGCCTGCACTGCTTCACAGCTCAGTGGAATATCTCCTTGTTCAGGCTCATGTTCCTCCAAAAGATCAGCAAATTCTGTGCAATTCAGCACTTTTGTTTCAACTTTTTTCAGCCTAATTCAACAAAATGTGCTTTTTTTCACTTCCTTCTGGTAATTTTAGCCTTTTTTTCTGCTTTTTTAGTTACTTTTCAGCTGGTTTTGTTTTGTTTTGATAATTTCAGCTTTCTTCAGATAATTTCAACTTCTTTGTTCTCATTTCTGCTTCTTTCAGCCTAATTGGGCAAACTTGTGTTTTTCTGCTTTCTTGTGATAATTTAAGCTAATTCTACCTTTTCAGCTTAGTTTTTATCATATTTTAACAAATTTTAGCTGTTGTCAGATAAATTCAAGTTTTTGTAATTTCTGCTTCTTTTAGCCTAATTAAAATATTTCCACTAATGTCAACTTGTTATGCTCCTTTCAGCTTATTTATGCTAGTTTCACTTATTTCTGCTACTATTTAGCTGTTTTATGCTAATATTAGCTTTTTCAGATAATTCCACATTTTTTGCACTCATTTCAATTTTTGTGTTCTTTCTGCCTTCTGTTGATTTACATTTGTTCTACAATTTTGGCTACATTTCAGATTTTTATTTATTTATTTATTTATTTTTTTTAGCAAATTTCAGCTGTTTTTCATCAAGTTTGTCAGCAATAAGCATTCACACTTCATTTTCACAGGAAATGCAATTTCTCTAGTTTTAGTAAGTAATCCTTCTCAAGGAAAAATATCACTTGGGCTAGCTTTTTCCTTATTGCAGTTGGGACAAAAATCAGATCCACATTTCTGTCAGGTATAAATAAAATACTAGTTTTAAACCAGACATTTCAGCTAGTCAAAACAGGCAGTCCAACCCTTTATCATATTTATTCCTAGCATTATCTCTTGAGATTTTCACATTGCTGCCATCTCCTGTGTAATCCTAAAATTGTTCTTTGTTCCAAGGTGAATGGTTCCGTTGTCTAAAATCTGCTGTTTTCTTCACTTTAAACTAAATGTAGTTTTATCTTTCTTACTTTACACACACTATTTCCACACATGCATTGCAGTTCAGAAAAGTTCTACAGATGTTCGGGTGTTTGTCTTTTTTCACTGAATATCTTTGAAGAAATTGTTGAAAATGATCAGAAGATTGGCAGCTGAGATGCAATCTGAATGTATTTACTAAACCCCTGGAATATTTGCAGCATTATACGTTTGCTGACTTTTAAGTTGCTTTCCACTCGTTAATAGTTTAGATAAAATCAAATGCATGTCGTCTTGACGCTGACACAAAAACAGCAAGAAGCCCCATTTATCATTCTTCATGTAAAGGAAGTACGGCAATTTTCACATCAAAATTCAAATTTATTTTACATCTTTTGAAATAAGCTCCTCAGCACACAACCCCCAAGTAGGGACAGTATCTGTGAAAGAAGTTCAAGCTAAAGTACATGTTTATTATCCACAATTTTTTTTGATTTTCATGTTTAACACTGCAAACATTTAGAAATTCCTTTTAGCACCACTAATGGTTAGTTTGTCAGGAATACATTAATATTTTAGTTTTAGACATTTTGAAAAAAAATAAAAAAAAACATTTAAATACACTAATAACTCTGAGGTTTTAGAAAAAAAAAAAGTTTAGTTTTTTGCATTTTCTACAGCTTGATTGCACTTTTGAATTTTTCTTTATTTTTTTGGTTTACTCACCAACAATACAGTAAATGATTTGACAAATATTGTGAGTAGAGTCTAACTTTTGTCAAATGAAAGGACCAGAAACTGTTCTAATATCAATGGCTCACTGAGGAGTAAATGTATCAGTTTGTGTCATGTGGTTTTCACCTCTGATTGCAGGCCAGCAGCACATCTTGAGTTTGTTTGTTCCAAATGAGAAAATGAACGTTAGAGTAGCTCTGACAGGTTTATTTGTCCTGTAGTTTCTGAGGGAGAAATTGGACCCATTTTATTGGGCACAACTTTTGAACATCTTGAAATTATGATACATTCCTTAGACTGACAAGTAGAAGGAATTCTCAAATGTCTAAGATCTTTGCAAAAGTAAGAGGCTGTCCACACTGGAAAGACTATTGTGAATACGCAATAGTTAATAAATAATTACATTTTAAAAACAGTGTATAAGCCACAAAATTGTATTTTCATTTTATGTCAAAACACCATCTTTGTGTTTTTGTGTTGACAACTAACTTTTAGAAAACGATGAGAGCAAAGCACCAAATCAAATCTGATCAACGTCACAAGGTTGTCCTCTTCTTTGCGTTGTGTTTAAATTTCAGGCCCAGCATGCTAGCTTCATGCACTTGCTCCCCAACTTGTTTCCTGTTTTTGCTGTTTTGTGACTGTATTATAGCACCACTTACAAGCCCGGTATTGTTACTGCAGCAATTGAAACAATGCTGGGTTTATGGGTATTTATTAAAAAATATATTTATATATTGGAATACCCACATTTCTATGTGGGCACAGGATAAATCCATCCATCCATTATCTTCACCAGCTTCTCCTTTCTGGGTAGAAGGTGGTGCTTTGCAAGCGGCAGTGTCACACGTCCATCACAGGGACACAGGGGCAGCTGTGACTGAGTGGTTAGAGCAGTCATCCTCTAGTGCAAGAGTTGGGAGTTTGACTCCACCAGTAGTCAATGCCGAAGTGTCCCAAGACACTGAACCCCTCATTGCCTCCGATGTGTGTCCCATCGGTGTATGAATGTGAGCTAAAGCACTAATTATTCTCTTTAGAATGATTTGTTCAATTAGCTTTGTATAGATAGAGTGCTGTATGGATGAGGGCACAGATTGTAGTGTAAAGCGCTTTGAGTATCTTAATCAAATAAAAATGTTCTATATAAGTACAGTCCATTACACATAGAGACAAACGAGAAACAACCATTCACACTTAGGGACAACTTAGAATTACCATTTAACCTAAGATGCATTTGCTCTGTGGGATGAAACCAGAGTACCTGGAGAAAACCACGCATGCTCAGAGAGAACATGCAAACTCCACCCAGAAATGTCCCTAGTGGGGATTTAATCCAGCAGTCTTCCGCTCTACCAACTGTGCTACTATGTTTGATTTTAATCTTAAACTGTTAATCTGACCACCTCAACTGCATCATCAATTAACATCATCATTATCATCATTTATCATCATCATTAGTTGGCAGCTCAGAACACCACATACAGAACACCATGGACTTTGTGGATAAGGTGAGGGATGTCATCATGGAGACTGATGAAACAATGGTCTCTTTTGATGTCACATCACTCTTTATGTGCATTCCTGTTGATGATGCAGTAGAGGTGGTCAGTTTAAAATTAAAATCAGACACCACTCTGAGCAGCAGGACCACACTTTCCACGGAACAACTGTGTCACCTCTTGAAACTGTGCCTGCAGTCAACCTACTTCACATATGGGGAGCAATATTATAGGCAGAAACATGGGTGTGCTATGGGGTCTCCAGTTTCTCTTATTGTTGCCAACCTGTACATGGAGGAGGTTGAAAAGAGAGCCTTGACGTCCTTTTCAGGGACACCACCAAGTCATTGGTTCAGGTATGTTGACGACACCTGGGTTAAAATTAAATCTCAGGAAGTCCAACATTTTAACGACCACATCAACTCTGTGGATAAATACATCAAATTCACACGAGAAGATGTAAAAAATGGCAGGTTGGCTTTCTTGGACTGTGAGGTCTCAGTCTCTGATAGAGGACATTTGCAAACTGAGGTGTACTGCAAACCCACCCACACAGAACAGTATTTGCAGTTTGACTCCCATCACCCTTTGGAGCACAAGTTAGGAGTCATCAGGACTCTGTATCACAGAGCAGACAGTGTACCCACTAACTCAGGAGCCAGGCAGAAGGAGAAATCCCACACAAGACAGGCTCTAGAGCAATGTGGATATCCTAACTGGGCCTTCCTGAAAGCAGAGAAGAAACCCAAACAGGACTCCAGTCAGCCATCAGGTGAAAAGGAGGAACCCAGACCCAGACCAGTGGTCATTCCGTATGTTGAGGGAGTATCAGAGAAACTGAGACGTTTATTTTCTAAACACAACGTCCCAGTTGCTTTTAAACCCCAAAATACATTACGGCAAAGACTGTTTCATCCCAAAGATTCAGTCCCCTGGCACAAACAGAGTAATATTGTGTATGCTGTTCAGTGTCAGGAGGGCTGTGATCAGTCTTACATCGGGGAAACTAAACAGCCACTGCCCAAAAGGATGGACCAGCACAGAAGAAAAACAACATCAGGCCAGGACTCGGCAGTCTACACTAATCTCCAGGCCAGCGGTCACCCTTTCAGGGATGAAGATGTTCACATCCTGGATAGAGAGGAATGATGGTTTGAGAGAGGAGTAAAGGAGGCCATCTTTGTGAAAAGAAACCGTCCTTCATTAAACAGGGGTGGAGGCCTCCGTGTTCAACTGTCCTCCTCTTACAATGCTGTTATTGCTAATATCACTCAACCATCTGTGAATAGTAAACAGCCATCAGTGTGCTAATGATCCATTGTTAGGCTGATGGTCCTTCTTGACCATGTGAGCAGCTGGTTGTGGTTGTCAGCAGCAAAACTTGTTGATCCACTTTGAGAAGGTGCTATTTATAACACTGAGCTGAATACAGCACCTCAGACTGAGGAAGTCTTTCGGATGAAAGACGAAACGTTTCTACATTTTTTTTGTTGTTGTTTTGCTTTGTTTTGTTTTTTGGATGTCCAGAGGACCAGATTTAACTTTTTTGAACTCAAAGTTGAGTTTCATTTTAAGCTTATTTTTACAAATAAGCATGTTTTGTATGTGAAGCAATTATTTAACAACACAATCAAGAATAAATTAATGTTATAATACATACTACTTTATAAAATACAGTAGTTAACCAAATATTGATTTTGTTCCATGTGTTAGATCAAATATCCGACCAGAAAAGGCCAATCACAACTCCCACCAGTTCAAGATGCACACGTTTGAAAGAATCACATCCTGTACTTACTGTCACCTGTTGCTCAGGTAAGGTTTAGGTAATTTGCTAATTCTGATTCATACTGAATAACTGTGCACCCGATGAAATACTAGCGAGGTGCTACCCTTCAGGTAAACTAACTGTTACAACACCTACTGTTCTTGAATAGCAAAACAATTGTGTGACAAGATAAATATGTAGGGTTTGTTTTCCTTGGTCTCTGGCTCCATCTTATGTCATGTTCATGTCTTGTGTCTGTCTGATTCCCATTCTCAGTCCTGCTCCCTTTTGTCTCATAATTACCCTATTCCCTAAACCTCTGAACCTGACAGGTGTTGAGTGTTAGTCTTCGTCAGTATGTGTATTTAAGCTTGCATGTTTGTCTTTACCCTTGTTCTGGCATTGTCTTCTGTCCGCTGGTGATGACCTGTCTGTTCCGTGAGTACCTCCTGATCATCCATGTTTGTTTTGCTGCCCTGTCTGCTCTTTTGTTGAATAAATTCTTTATTTTATATGTATCCTGAATTCTCGCCTGCTTGCCTGCACCACTGGGTTCACCAGCACCAGCTTGTTGTGACAAAATATACTTTTAATCTTTTTTACATGAAAAGAAAAGAAAAGAACACAATGACATTTTATAGTTCAGTTCTCAGTCACTTTTCCTTAAGCACTTCAAGGAAAAAAAGTCCTTAACCTGACAGAAAAAAACTTACTGAGGTTGAATGAAAATAAATATCTAATATCCTGTCATACAGACTGTTAGCTGTCCCTGTTTTGAGCTCACAGTGCAGGCTTTATGCTTTCTAAAAACTTGAAGGACGTTTCCCATGTCATTTCACTTATCTTGACAATGTGACAGAAGCCAGAAATTTCCAAATGTCAAGGTGTTTCGTTTCTGGTTGCTGTTGTACATGAAATACATCCAGTATTTTACTGTCTCCAGGGGCATCTTTAACCAGGGTTATCTTTGTCTAAAATGTGGCCTGGGGGCTCATAAGGAGTGTCTGGGTCGGCTCGGAGTCTGTGGGAGAACAGGTGAGGAAGAATGTCTTTTTGAACACTAAATTGAAAAAAGGTTTTGGTGACCTTTAGGCCTCAGTTTAGTTATACACCCCTAATTTTGAAATCTAAAGTTATGTTCACATAAAATTTACCAATTTGCCATTTTTCATTCTCCTCAGAGGAAAATATATTCACTGATCCTGTTTTTATTATCCACCTAATGAAATGCAACACTTTATAATACATACATACGTTCATCCATCTGTCTATAATTTGTCCATAACTTCGGATATGCATCATCTAGTGATGATGCAGGATGAAAAGTGTACGCCACACTCAGTCTGAGTGTGGCATACACTTTTCATCCCCTAGCTCTAAGGTCAAAGTCACAAATCAAGGTCAAATGTTCCATCATTATGTTGTATTACAGTTTGTAGATTGTATAATGTGCCGTATGTGGTCCTTTCGTTAGAATATCTTCTTAATCTCTTTTGCTTTGTATCTAACTGCAGGTATACTGATAATGTTTTATTCTAATTCTTAAGGTCCTTGAGTTAGAAATTATAGCCTTAACCTTTACCCACAATTTATAATTCCTAGTGGAGAACTACTCAAATTTCTGTAGTAAGTATATAGTAAATAAAACATGATTTATTTCTGACTTGTCACACATTTAGCTGTTTAACAGTCCTATGAAAATGTGACTTGTTGAATTTTAATGCTGCGTCTAGCTTTGCGTCTGTGTCACCAGACTGGTACTTGTTGAATTTACAGACGTCTCAAGCCAGCTTGGGCTTTTGACAAGCTTCCTTAGCAGACAAACTGTGGTTTTTATGTATTCAGAGGCGTTATGAGGGCCAGAAGAGGTTGACAGTTGAGGTTGTATGTCAAGAAGCCACCACACTCTCATATTGTATTCCCCTCACTGTGTCTGTTTCTCACCTGCCTGCAGATCCTGTCAAGCTGAGGCCCAAGGTAAGACCTGAACCCCTTCTCTTCTTTGACTCAGACATCTCAGCTAACACAATAGGCTGGGCATAAAGTAGCAGCCAAACTCCATCCAGGCATACAGTTTCTATTACCAGAGAGATCATAAAAATATATTTCATCAGCAACAACAAAACTTTGCTAATAAAGTGAAATTGCTATGCTTTTTAACATGTTGTAAATTGAATTATAAAGTTCTGCAGAAGAGGGTACTGCTAAAATTATTGTTTTCGCTACAATTATGCTCATATTTGTCCCTAAAGCAGACTTGTATGTCCAGAACCTGCTTGTATGTCTGTACATAACATGGAAAATTATTTTAAATCCTAAGTTTTACATGGTATAATTCACCCTTTTAGTCAGGTTATTGTGGGTCTTTCTATAAGGGAAGCTGAATTAATTAGCTGCACAATTCTCTGAGTGGATGACGTAGTTATATATATATATATATATATATATATATATATATGATGGGTGTCATCATTACCTCTTGCACCTTTGCGCAACCCATACTGCAGGATAAACTTCCTGCTGCAGCTGATCAGCTGATCAGCTGTTCAGCGTGCAGAGTGTAGAAGTGGGCGTGGCCAAGAGCGCTTGCAGGTGGCTGAGAGCAGCGGAGGCAGGGAGCTGAAATCATGACATTCGGTGCTCTTTTAGAGCGTTTTGAGTTTAGAAACATTGTTTAGAATAGAGTGAGAGAGTGGGAAGGGTTTAAAACGCGGGATATTGGATTTTTGTCCGATATGCTGATATGTTAAAACTTATTTGTACGATACCGATATTTTATATACGTTCCTTTGTCAGAACATAGCCCTCTTATTTAGGCTTATTTGCTACAAAAATTGTGCAACAGCTGTAATAGCTGGTGACACATATTCACTAACAGTCATATGATATGCATAGCACTTTGACATATTAAATGAAAAGTGTTAAATGTTGTTTATTAGCAACAAAGTCCATACTCAATAATCCAGATATACGATTCAACATTTTTCAGTCAGGTCATCTGGACATTTATTTTTTTGTGCAGAAACGTTTCGCCTTCGATCCGGAAGGCTTCATCAGTCGAGGAAACGCACAACAAAACTGATTCTTCCCCCAACAGCTTACTCCAAAG